AGGGAGAGTTTCCAAAAATGGAAAGAGGTGGGCAGGGTGCCATTTTGTTTTATTTATTACATGAGCAATATCTTAGCAAATAGAAAAGAAAATAAGTTCTTATTGTATATTCTAGCTTGTCAATATCTGTAATTTGAGTTTTTAATTGTTACAAAACTATAGACTTAGTAGTTTAACTTCACAAACATCTAATCTGAACCAGTGCTGCATTCAACATACTATGCAACACACAAAAATCAATGTTTATTTGTTTTTTTATATATGTACTTTTAAATTAAGAAATTGAGTAGTGTGTAGTTCTAAAATTTGAATTATAATCTACAGTTTGATATGAAACTTATTGACATAAATTTATGATATAGTAGTTCAAAAAAATTTTGAATTCGAGTCAACAAATGAGATGACATGGCCTTTCACCTATGACCCGTCTCGAAAGGGTTAAAGTAGTAATTTTCAATAAGAGCTCACATATGATTTAATTTTTGAAGTTTTATAGATAAACTGTGAAACAAAATTTGGTGAAAGGTTATTCGGAAAACTTTTCAAATCAAGTTAGCAATAATTTTGAATGAGAGTTCACATGTTTATTACCTTTATTTTCACACACACTATTCCATGTACTTATCACACACTATTTCTTTTTTTGACATATTCATGTTTTATATTATTTGAAAAGCTATGTTTCAAATAAAGTTACCCTAGAACTGAGAAATTTAAAATATTAAATTATTTCAAATTAATTAAGAATATGTAAACATTTTAAAGATTTTACCTCCTCCCATCGAGTGCAAGATGAAGAAACATTGTAAAAAATCACATTTTTCTGCTTCCTTTCTAAGGAGATTATTTATATTTTCCTTGTACTTTAATCCATATTCTTTATGTCCAACGGCCCTAAAATTTTCAAATTAAGAACATCTACTTTGAAGAAACAATAATTTCAATCATATCAGGACCCAATTTAAGTCTAATTTTAAGACAAGGTATAACCATTTTTGGGAGTGAAAGAAAAACAAGGTAAGGTAAAATATTATATCAGCAGTCTTAGAAAACAAAAAACAAAGTTAGAGGATTGGCCATATTTTCAGAAAAGGTGATTCTTGATTTAAAAAATTAACAATGTCTTATTGATAAACATTAACAGATCATGACCTACATCATCATGTGATACTAAATTAGAAATAAAATTATGATAATCTATGTGTATCAAAATATAAAAACAAACTAGATTAGGCTACTTTATCCAATTATAAGCTATTTTATTTTGATCTCTTATCAATATATTCTTACAGTAAAGTTGTAGCACTCAAATATCAAAAGTTACCATGGCTAGAAGCCTATAAAATCACCCATGTGTAATTACTAAGTCTTTAGTAATTTTTTATTATTTTCATATATAATTACCACATAATTTATATTCTGTATCTTAGGTGTTATCTTCAGAAGAAGAAGAGTCCTAAAAAGGATGGTTTTTATAGATGGTGTTTTGTTCTGTATTGGATGTATAGGTGGTTTGGTGTGCACCAATAGAGACTATATTGTGTTATTTCTAAATAATGACTGTCCCGACTTTTTTGCATTTCCTTTGTATGCTTTTTAAAAAGACCTCTGATATGGGGCAATAAGGTGTGTGTGTCTTTTCATTTTCTTATTGCTTATTCTTGGTGTTTGTCTTTTTTTTTTTCTTGTGTCCATAACTCTATTGGTGTATGAACATCTGTGTTGGTAATCATCAGGTATAAGAATGGGAGCTTCTTATCTGTTTTTCTATTTCCATCATGAATTATATGGCTGGATGTTTGTTTAGGTTGCTCATGAATTCTGAAATTTGGTCTATACTGTACAGCCATAGATACAAGAAGACAAGCATCAAGAATAAGCAGCAAAGAAAATTACAAACACACAATTATATTCCAGAAAAGACCACAAAATAAAATGAAGTAACAGTAAAACAATGGAATATGAACTACACACAAGAAAAAGATGAAGGCAGCATTCATAATCCAAGTAACTGATATCACACTCTGTTAATCTATCACATATGTCAGAAAAACCTTGATATCTCTCTTGAAACCATTCAAATCATTAGATGATTCAAGTCATATGGATGAAAGCTCAGACTTGTGGAAAACACACACCTAACAAAAATACCCATAATGAAATCACTTAAAATCCTTCTCAGGACTTCTCTAATGATTACAATAAATTAGAATCTGAAACACAATATAAATCAATTGGTAGTTAATAATTACCAATAACAATAAAACATGTAAGCAATTTATTAGTAATTAGTCTTAGGTGAGGTCATATACACTACTAACCGTGACAACAAAACATATTTTTTTTTACAACATAATTTTATGAAAAGCTACAAAGCTCAATTATAAATTAATGTATTTCACTATATCAATAACAATTACTGTAGGAACTTTCTTGAAGTTTAATCTACAAATGATATCCTTCTTGGTGTTAAAATAATAACCTGAAGATTATAAGATTTCATAATTTGAAATTTTTTTTGCACTAACTTTTTATATATATAAATTAATCTTTCAAAATTTTGTTACTCAACAATACCTAAATAGTAATAAATTATTATTGAAAATAAAAATTACTACAACTATTAATAGTTTACAAAACTCTTTTTTTTTCACAAAAGTTAGCATTTTTCTTCCTTGAAAATGTATTTCTAATAGATACTTGCTTCGCTCACAAATATCTTTGACTTATACTGCCCTTTATATGTGCAAATTTTTGCTCATCACTAGCTTTGAAACTCCCACCTACCCTCACATGTATTTACGTAAGACATCTACATGCTACCATGTAAATGATCATGCAGCAACCTTTCACCAAAAGGAGTGTGATTCAACTCCTATCATCACTAGCGCCCTCTCTTCCGTACAGCCCATAATCACTTTAAGATTGGGCAGTACATATAAAACTAACACTGGAAGTGGGGAGGTCGAGTGGTAAATGTAAGTATCTATCAGAAATACATTTTCAGTGCAGGAAAATGTTAACTTTCGACACAATATCACTTAAAGATTTGTCAGTACATATAAAACTAACACTGGAAGTGGGGAGGTCGAGTGGTAAATGTATCTATCAGCAATACATTTTCAGTGTAGGTAAATGTTAACTTCCGACACAATATCTTATGTCCGCTCACAAACAGCTAGAATCCCACACTGACTTGGCAGAAGGTTCAATGAGAAGATGATCCCCCTTTAGAAAGCACCCAAAGGAAGATTCTGGGGTGTGCAAATAAATGGAAGGCAACACCCCTGTGGGAGACTGTACCACTTCTGAGCCAGGTATACTCTTTGTCCACATGAAAATGTGTCATAATAATGTCAAAATCATAGGAGGAGCCCCCCACATCATCATTTGTGCACATCCAACACAAACAGGACCATATCTGTCAGGAACTGACATCTGAGGGATGATAAGAAGGTGAATAGCAAAGTGGGGTGCATCACCAGGTGGCATGGGGAATGTATCATTCATTCTGCAGTAGGAGGAGGTTATCTGGTCACATATGTGAAATTATGGGACCCCAGGTGTAGAATGGTTAGGGGGCACCAGACTGTAAATGGGTGACTGAGCTCAACCAACACCATTTGAACAGAAATAGAGATATCTAGCACATGGTAGGAAGAGAATCCCTTCCTTTCACCTCAGATAAAGGAACTAGTATGGAAGATAAACCTTCATACCAAGGATCTGTATCATCATGTGAACACATCCAACACAACTATCACCATATCTGTCGTAAACCAACATCTGAGGGATGACAGGAAGGTGGACATCAAAGAGAAGGTGCATCTCCAGTCCATCAACAGGCAACGCTGGGAATGTATCATCCAGTCTGCAGTAGGAGGAGGGTACTTGGCCATACACGTGTGAGGACTTATGTGACTGGTCCAGATCAAACCATAATCATACCCACTGGGAACTGACATCCAGGGAATGGTAGTATGGAGGGTGCTTCAGCTAGAGGGGCAAACTGCATGTTGGCACAATACATCATCCATCACCTAACAGCACCAGGAATGGTAAATCAGATCCACAGTAGGATGAGAGTCAATATTTACACTGGCAGAACACTACCTCCCTACTCTCATCTGAGTGGGATTTAGCACACTCTGGAGGAAATCGGTGCATTGGAGAGTCCAAAAGAACACTGCACTGAAATAGTGTAATAGTAACCTTGAAACTTTATTATGAAAAGCAGACTGATCCAGTGACCTACAATACATGGATTATCAGGGATGGGCAGCAATCCCTATCTGATTTACTCATGTTAGTTCATGAGAGTATGGCCCGGGATGAACATCTTTATGAAGCAAAAGGCCATGAGGAATAATTATAAGTGTCCCTTCCAGAACACCCCATCTCAACAGTGTGGTTATTTAACACACAGGTCTTACAGTGCAGATTTAAGAATAAGTATACATGTTTAGGCAAAACTTGGTACAAAGCAGTATACTAAAATGTGAAAACAGGCCCCTCCAAAGAAAAGGTAGAAAAAAAGAACTCTTACCCACTCATAGAGAAATTGAGCAGTGCAAAATGGTGACGGGAGAAAGACAAAAACCTGTAGAACAGAAAATTGTCAGGTGGTGAAGATAATTATCAGTGAATGTATGGGGAGTGATCCACATACTGGCACAAATGATGTCCTTCAATGGAAAAAAGAAATGAGCAGCTTGGGACATGGTATGATGATGAATTTGATTTAAAGGGATATGGAAATGACAACAAATATCGAATGAAAGGAACTAATAAGCCAGAACTGGGAGGAATTCCAAGGAATAAATAAACGGGAATGGGAACCACAGAAGGAAGCAGAGCATGTCATGTAACCATGGTGAGCCCAGACCAAACAGAGGAGATTAGTAGGGTTGGAATGGTCATACAGGTGTGATATGGAAGGAAGGGAGATGGGATATGAAGGGGGAATTACCCACACGAGCAGCTAAAATTTTGGGCAGGAAAGAACGATCAGGGAAAAGGACCACACAGGAACATTAAAACAAGGTGTGGTGAACATCAATAATGAACATGTTTATTCAATGACATCTGTCCACTAATAGGAAGAAAAAAGTCTGTATGGAGAGATGAGAGAAAGAACGAGTTGGTAAAGGCTTGAATGGAGGAAGGGTAAGAGCATGAAGGATGACACTGACGATCCAATAAGAGAGAGAGAGAGAGGTGGGGCAAAAATGATGGATGAGGCAGAGTGAATGAAACAAAAGAGAAATGACAGGCAAATGGAAAACAGAGGTATATCATGTAAAATGAAATGTGTCTGAAAAAACACAACACAAAAAGGTCTTGATAATAGAAGGGATATGGGGAAACATAGAAATAGGAGGGTAGACATACAGGTAGAGGCCCATCCTAGCCTGACTAAGAGCATCTATTGCTCCAGCCAATGTATGTGAAACAGGAGAACAAAGCCACCAAAAAAAATTTAGTCCGACAACCACTCCGTATGGAGAATCTTGTCAAAACAAGATAAGCAATCCATTACTAGATTCAGGGCACCCTGAATATGACAAGCCATCATATGAATAGGATGGCCTTGGGCCCAATAAAGGAGGTCCAGTGTCTGAAAACAGAGGTCTCTTGACCAAGTGCCCTCTTGCCTGGAGATGGACAAGACCACACTCAAGTTGTTGGAAGGCAACATCACTGACTGGCCCCAAATGGCCAGAAGGATGTGAACCAAAACTTGACAAATGGCAATGAGCTCCAAGAATTCTTATACAGTCCACTGCCTCAAGACCACGCGAGCATTCAGGTAGGCACCCCAACCAGAAAGAAAGGCACCTGAAAAGATGTGATGTTCCAGACAAGGAGGTGGAAGAGAATCACCCATAGTGGTG